TGCCCACTGCTTCACTGAGTGAATGGGTCAAATGCAGAGAAAAACAAGCTATTTCCCCACGGGGATCAATAAAGTATACATTATTATATGCTGCTTGCCCACTGGTGCACCATATTATGATACTTTAACTGAGGTAGGTGTGCATATTTCTTACAATAAATGCATGATGGAATAAGAGTACAATAATCTCTCCACCTGTGAAAATTCCTGTCTGACTCTAAAAAGGTGTGTGGGTTGAGCGGTTAACACAATCCATTGCACCTAAAATAAACTGCAGCAAAAAACTTGGCAGTCAAGTATCAGCGTTTTACCTACTCACACAACAAAAGTGTCAGAGTAAAAACCACCAACACACACATGCGCAAAATATTTACATCGACCTTCCTTCTTCACCAACACAGTGAGATTCACACATACACAAGTACACACAAGCAGAGACTTCAAGGGTCAAAGTCCAGCAGGTAGATTAGGGAGATATTAAAGAGACAGACAACATTGGTTAACTTCATAGAGGAATTTGTCAGGGAGACTGAGAATATCAGTAAACAAGACAAAATCCATTTAGAAGCAGGCATGTCAAGACAATAAAGCTTGAGACAATTGTGTTAGCAGTCAGTTTTGAGCTAACTTGATAGTTCGGTAAGCAGCATTAGTGTCTTGGAAACATCAAATAAAGTGTCTTTGAATGTCAGAGTTGCTCTGCTTATAGCAGTTTATAATAAATTAGTCCAAATGTGTAGATACAGTGATGCCATCCATAACAGCAGTTATAAGCATTTTATGTCCTGACTTCAGGAGTGGCAGGGCAACAGCTGGCCAACACTTTTTGCATGTATGCCGGTAAAAATTATTTTCTGAATAGCAGAGTGGAAATTTTTGGAAACGCTACAATAGATACAATGTATTTGCTGTACTAACACAAACTGCAAGAGAGGGAGGTAAAAAATACTGAGAATAAATAAACACTATGTTACTGCATGTGGGAAAACACGGGGGAAACACTGGGTGATGAAACAGTCAGAGTTGCTCAAATATAAAAGAAGCTGCTTACTCTGGAAACACATTAGGTTCAGCACTTAACTGGTAAGGTAGTATCTGACCCCACTGCATGTTTGGCTCCTATAATCAACTTTATAGAATCTGTTAAAAGCTAAAACTGTCTCTTCTTTCTTTTCAGGAGATCTGCAGTGGCTTCTCTTTGGTAACCACTTCAAGCTGGTAAAAGAATGATAGTATGTAACATATGATGCTGCCTAAACAATCTAATTTTAGAAAAACACATGCATCACAAACGATACTTTAATGTTACAGTTTCTTACAACTTCACAGACACAATATTTAAAATAATTTATTTGCAACCTCATTCTCCTTCTATGGCTGTTTTTTTCTTCAAGTGTAGTTTAGTGTGTGCCTGCCTGATATTAGCCACACTTTTCTTTAACCTTAGCCTCTTACAAGTGCCCTGTGCATGTTAGCATTAACCCGGAGGCTCTAATCATAAATAAAATCTATCCGAGACCAGTGTTGGTCAAGTTACTTGAAAAAAGTAATCAGTAACTAATTACTGATTACTTCCCCAAAAAAGTAAGCCCGTTACTTTACTGATTACTTATTTTCAAAAGTAATTAATTACTTAGTTACTTAGTTACTTTTTAAAAACACGATTTACAACCTGAA